CCATGAAATTCTTGAAGAGACATTGTTGGAAGAAAATAGAGCATTTCTTAATCTTGAAATTGAAATACATGGTGAAAGTATCTATACAGATAGAACTATATAGGCTTTTGTTTATGTTTGTTTGGCTTGGCTTTATGCAAGTTCACGTGGAATTTTTCTGATCATTTTAAATACATTGTTTTTAAAGGTTTATTTATCTCCATTTTATTTGAAAGAAAGAGATAAACGGAGAGAGAGAGATCTTCCATCTGCTGGTTCATTCCTCAAATGCCTACAACAGCCTGGGCCAGGCTGAAACCAGGAGCCAAAAACTCAATCCAGGTTTCCTATGTTGGTAGTAGGGACCCAACGAAATCATCATCTACTGCCTCCTAGAGTTCACATTAATTGTAAGTTAGATTGACAGCAGAGGGGTGGGACATGAACCTGGTACTCTGATATGAGTTGTGACTGTCCCAAGAGATCACTTAACTGCTGCACCAAATGGCCTGCCCAGAAAATAAATTCTCTTCTCTTGCTAAGCTTTGGGTATGGTTATTTATCTTTTTCTGAGTTGTTAAGCCATTAGAAATCTTTAAAATAAGACTGATATTTTCAATGATTTTTATCATCAAGTTGAAAGCAGACAGTTCTTTGTTTTTTTCACAAAGAAATGTTTCAGTAAGGATCTTTTTGACAAGGTATCTTAAGCCATCCAGGTTGGAATCTTATATGGTTTTAAAAGAATCGCAACCACCATAATCCAAAAGCTGCACCTATGAAATTTATATTCATTAAATAAAAGCTTTCTAGGCCAGCGCCGAGGCTCACTAGGCTAATCCTCCGCCTTGTGGCACCAGCACCCCAGGTTCTAGTCCCGGTTGCTCCTCTTCCAGTCCAGCTCTCTGCTGTGGCCCTGGAGGGCAGTGGAGGATGGCCCCAGTGCTTGGGCCCTGCACCCGCATGGGTGACCAGGAGGAAGCACCTGGCTCTTGGCTTCCGATCAGCACAGTGTGCCAGCCATGGCAGCCATTTTGGGGGGTGAACCAACAGAAAAAGGAAGACCTTTCTCTCTGTCTCTCTCACTGTCTAACTCTGCCTGTCAAAAAATAAATAAATAAATAAAAGTTTTCTAAAAAATAATCACAAACTTATTAGCAAAACAATGACAATGTTCAGCATAAAATTTTATGTTGGTGTTAATGTTTCTTTGGAGGCACATGAAATTAAATATTAGTTAATATTAGTAATATAGTAATTCTCTATTTCTTCATTGAAGTCAGGTGCCTTGTATTTTATTTAGCAAAATATATCAATATTTTAAATTTTGAATGGCTGTAGAATGTTTAAGTAATAGAGATCCATTAGTGGACCCCTAAGGGGAGGGACAGTTGGAACACAGTAGAAACTAATAAAAAGTATGTATGTTCAGAAATCTCAGGTCTTTGTTAGGGGCTAAGTTTATCTGTTTAGTTATCTACTTGAACTTATGGGAGATTTTGCCTCTCATTTTACTACTTTCTTCTCTTTATAGAAACAAATTCTCTAAAGGTCTCATCTTAGTCTCCAGAGAAATAAATAAGAGTAGCAGAAAATGGATGAGACTGAGTGGCAGATAAAATCAGAATAATTGCAGTCAGTAAAAAATCTTGAAAGTACTTTAATGAGGAAGCCACAAACAAAATATGATACTGATACTCTATGAGGATCCATGATTACTCAGAATTTATTCATAAGTGCATTAAAATGTAAAGCCATGCATAATATTTAATGTATATTTAAAATTTAAATATAGAATTTAGAAATGAGATGAGCAAAACACTGCATTCTGAATAGTCTGGAGCATTTTAGGGTTATATTCCAGGAAACTCTATAATATTCTCCCTGCCTCGGATTGTATATGCATTAGCAGATACTGGTTTTGGTCATGCAGTTTGGCACATAGAATGAGTCTCAGATCTGAGGCCATTTAACTGCCCTGCAAATGATCCCAGCGTCACTTGAGTGCTTAAATTGGTTGGAATAACCAACCATAGGAGAAGAACTCAAGGCTTTGTTTGTTTTTTTACTATCTATTTAAGAGTAATATTCTCTCTCTCTCTCTCTCTCTCTCTCTCTCTCTGCTTCTCTGTAACTCTACCTTTCAAACCAACAAATAACTCTTTAAACACAATGCTCCAAGGATCTGCTGGGAAGAGATGGTTCACAGTGTTTACATTGTTGGTTTTGTCGCAGGTGGTTAACACTGTGACCTCTTTATCTGCTTGTTATAATGCATCTGTCCACGCTCTAACTGACGTTTTCCACCCACACAGGTTCTGATGACATCACTTTTACTCATCCTCTTATGTACTTAGTTTTGCATGGATGAGCTGTTCATTCGTGGGCACAGAGTTGGTTGGTAGCAATAGACGAGTGTTTTTCCACTACTTTGTAATCACGTCTTAGGTGTCTGGTGAACTGTTTTCTCACTGTTTCAGAGAAAAGGAAAAAATGTCAGCTGACCTTTATTGAGAACTATTACATATAGGACCACCTTAGAAACTTCAGTTCCAACAGTCAGTCAAACAAGAGTTGTAGGCCCTGCTTCTGATAGAGTTAACGAGATGTTTCAGAGATTGTCCTGTCAACTTTAGGGCGTGCCTCTTAGCTTTCTGCTTGTGGGGGAACTAAAGGCTTCCCAGCAGCTGTCTTTCTTTCCTTCTTTTTTTTTTTAAAGGATTTATTATTTATTTGAAAGGCAGAGTTACAGAGAGACAGAAGCAGAGAGAGAAAAGAAAGATCTTCCATCCGCTGGTTCACTCCCCAGATGGCTGCAGTGGCTGGACTTGGGCTGATCCAAAGCCAGGAGCCAGGATCTTCTTCTGTGTCTCCCAAGTGGGTGAAGGGGCCCAAGGACTAGGGCCATCTTCTACTGCTTTCCCAGGCCATAGCTGTGAGCTGGATTGGAAGTGGAGCAGCTGGGACTCGAACCAGGGCCCATATGGGATGCCGTTGCTGCATGTGGCAGCTTTAGCTGCTAGGGCACAGCGCCGGCCCCCCATCACCGCCTCTCCGTCTTTCAATAGCTCTGAATGAAAGAGTCTGTGCTTCGGCTCTCCTGCATGCTCCCTCTCTGGACCTTCCAGTTCCTGATGCTGGTTTTGTCCTCTGGAGCTTTGCAGGATGAATCAAATCCTTTTCCACACAGCCACCTTCAGCAACCTGAAGAACCTTCCACCTTAAGGAGCTTGATGCTGCCCACAAACCTTCCCAAGCTATGCAATGAACTCTTCATGGAAATGGCTCTGAAACACAACTCACAACCAAATATGCTAATGTCGGAATCAGCTGAGACCCGAGCCGGAATCACTGTGTATGAACCGGGTCCATTCATGCTGCCTTCTCCCCTTCCAGTGGCAGCTCATTTAGCTCTGCTTATTCTTCACCCCTTAGATAAGTCTATCTTTACATTTTGTCTTATTTTGCTCTATAAGAATATTAATTAAAGACAGCAGAATCTGCTGAGAGAATTATCTAAAATAACTAGAAATATTCTGATACCGTAAGCATTCTGATAAGCATTTGATGTAGACAGTAGCTATTATAGTACTTTTAAAAAATAATGCTTGGTCTTTCTGGATGGCTAATAGCTACAGAAAGATTTCAAGTCATGAAACTATCATTAAAACAATCTCTATCTTAGCTAATATCTCTTCAATCATAATCTTATTGTCATATATAAGAGAACATTAAACTTATAGAAGCAGCTAATTTAAAATTAAAATTTCCAAAAATAATTCTGTATATGTCTCTGCAGAATCGTTGTGTGATGCATTGCCATTGTGACTGCCCATTAAAAAAAATATCAGATGCAGGCTTGGCCCTCTGGCCTAGTGGTTAAGATGCCTGAGTCCCACGCAGTGCGTCTGGGTTAAATACCAGGGCTCTGCTGTTACTTTCAGCTTCCTGCTCGTGTAGATACCAGGAGGCAGCAGGTGATGGCTCGAGTAGGTGGACCCCCGAGTACACCTGGGAGATCTGGATTGAGTCTCAGCTTCTGGCTTTGGCGTTTGGGAAATGAACCAGCAGATGGGAACTCTTTTTCTATAGCTCTTTCAAGTAAATAAAAGTCTTAAAAATAATGTGAAGACTTCATTTTAAAATGTTATTAGTTGTTTTAAGATATGATTCTGAAGGAAGAGAAGGAGAGAATATGATGCGTTTTACATTGTAATTCTTTTGCAACAATTTTTTGTTTTCTTGGCTATTTCTGGTTTCTTTTCCCTCCTTCTCTATTTTTCTCCTCATTTCTTATGGAGAAAAGGAATCTACTTTTTATAACCATACCACGCCTCTTCCAGTTTATTTGACCCCTGGAGATTGGCAGTTCCTTGAAGAATACACTCAGCGTTTTTAGGCTGCTCGGATGTGCTAAAACATGAGCCAGTTAATGACATGCTTATTGACAAGTTCTAGGAAGCTTGCAGAGTTCAGTTTTCTGTGGGGCTGGTTCACGGGCTATAACAGATTAGAATGTCAAACAGATGGAAACAATTAGTTGCACTAATGTCTTAACCCCAGGTTTACCAGTGAGGGAGGAAGATCATTGATTAAAAGGCCCGTCTGTTTCAGAGATGTTTCCGACTTGCTTGCATTTAGTGGTGCGTAATTCAGATCAATTCAGCAGTAAGCTTCTTTGGATAGCCGTTCACTGTTTATTGCTCAATTTCATTGCTCATGTGCTTATCATGACGTTATTGAGAAATGGAGTTGTATTTGGGATAGTATTGCTACCTAGTACTATGTTTAGTATGAGTGGATTTCAAAAAGTACCGAAAAATGGAATTAAAATAAAAGGTTTTTTTGCCAAAAACATTGAAATCCATACATATGAGGGGTCTTCAGAAGTCCATTTAAAAATAAGTGTGTCATGAAAAACGCCTTTATAAATTTCATAAATTTTTGCACCAAAGATAAACCTATATTTTATTTTGCAAAAGCTTTTTGAAGTTCCCAGGTATATTACTTGTGGCAGGAACATGTATTTTGAAAGTGCCAACAGCTTTGAGAATTGTGTAATCGGGGGCTGGCGTTATGGCATAGTGAGTAAAGCCACCACCTGCGACATTGGCATCCCATATGGGCACCGATTTGTGCCATGGCTGCTCCACTTCCATTCCGCTCCCTGCTAGTAGCCTAGGAAAGCAGTGGAAGTTGGCCTGTGTTTGGGCCTCTGCACCCACATGGGAGATCTGAAAGAAGCTTCTAGCTTCAGCCTGGCCCAGTGCTGGCCTTTGTGGCCACCTGGGGAGTGAATGAGCAGTGGAAGACCTCCCTCTCCCTCTCCTCCTCTCCCACTCACCCCCTCCTCCTCTCACCGCCTCCTTCCCCCCTTCACCCTCTCTGTAACTCTGAGTTTCAAATAAAAATAATATAAAGAAATAAATCTTTTTAAAAATTGCGTAATTAGTGAGTTAAATATATACCTTCCAAATTTGTTAGGGTACTTACATTTTGACTAAAGCTTGATGTTGGAGGAAGAACATATCCATTTCAGTGTGAGACTCCTTTCTATTTTCAGAAAGAAAGATGGGGAAATTCTGTTACTAAAATCAAATTCTTCTTAAAATATCCTTAACCTACTTTTTTTTTTTCTAAATGATGATGCCGTACTTCTTGCATAGAATTTCACAACTCACATTTTTTTTTTTTTTGACAGAGTGGACAGTGAGAGAGAGAGACAGAGAGAAAGGTCTTCCTTTTTCCATTTGTTCACCCTCCAGTGGCCCCTGCGGCTGGCGCACCGCGCTGATCCAAAGCCAGGAGCCAGGTGCTTATCCTGGTCTCCCATGTGGGTGCAGGGCCCAAGCACTTGGGCCATCCTCCACTGCACTCCCGGGCCACAGCAGAGAGCTGGCCTGGAAGAGGGGCAACCGGGACAGAATCCGGCGCCCCAACTGGGACTAGAACCTGGTATGCCGGTGCCGCAGGTGGAGGATTAGCCTAGTGAGCCGCGGCGCCAGCCACAACTATTTGTTACCTCATTTCCCTTTAGCGATTTTTCCCTCTGGTGTTTTCTTGCCATATGGAGGTCATTGAATGACTGACTCTAAGATTTAACAGCGGTCCTTGGGGCCAGCGCTGTGGTGTAGTGTGTAAAGCCGCTGCCTGCTATGCCGGCATCCCATATGAGCGCTGGTTCGAGTCCCAGCTGCTCGGATTCCCATCCAGCTCTCTGCTATGGCCTGGGAAAGCAGTGGAAGATGGCCCAGGAGCTTGGGCTCCTGCACCCACGTGGGAGACCCAGAAGAAGCTCCTGGCTGGCTTTGGATCAGCGCAGCTCTGCCCTTTGCAGCCATTTGGGTAGTGAACCAGTGGATGGAAGACCTCTCTCTCTTTCTCTCCCCCTCTCTGTAACTCTGACTTTCAAATAAATAAATCTTTAAAAAAAAAAAAAAGGCAGTCTTCAAAGCTAACTGATCAGTTGCTGTATTTAGTGTTTAGCCTGCCTGCTATGTCCAAGAGGAGAATATATTGGAAAAGGAGGTAGACTAAGCATTGAGCCAAATAATGGAGTGATATGGTCTCTTTCATGGTAAAGATGGACAACGGCCGTTTCTTCCAAGTTCAGCCTACTGAGTCCATAGACCTATGCATTAGGAGCTCTCTGATGTCTTTAAGCTATAAATTCTCTTTACCATTTGGGGACATTATTAGCTTGCCTTTGGCATTAAACTTTATCCACGTGGATGTGGGTTTTTGGGGGTGTAAAATATGAGCTTTTTATTTTTATTTTTTAAATATTTATTTATTGGGACCAGCACTGTGGCATAGTAGGTTAAGCTTTTGCCTGTGGCACTGGCATGACATATGAGTGCTGGCTAAAGTCCTGGTTGTTCCTCTTCTGATCCAGTTCTTTGCTATGGCCTGGGAAAGCAATGGAAGATGGCCCACGTGCTTGGGCCCCTGTACCCACATGGGAGACCTGGAAGAAGCTCCTGGCTCCTGGCTCCTGGCTTCAGATCAGCCCAGCTGAGGCCACTGTGGCCGTTTGGGGAGTGAACCAGCAGATGGAAGATCTCCCTGTCTTTCTCTCTGTCTCTCTCAAAACATTTGTTTATTTATCTGTCTGAAATCTCTGAAAAATTTATTTATTTGAGAGGTAGTTACAGACAGAGAGGGAAACACACACACACACACACACACACACACACAGAATCTTCCATCGGCTGGTTCATCCTCTAGATGGCCATGGCTAGGGCTGGGCCAGGCTGAAGCCAGGAGCCAGGAGCCAGGCGCTTCATCCGTATTCCCATATGGATGACAGGGACCCAAGTACTTGGACCATCTTGCGCTGCTTTTCCCAGACCATTAGCAGGGAGCTAGATGGGAAGAGGAACAGCCAGGACTTAAGCTGGTGCCCATGAGGGATGCCGTTGTCACAGGCAGTGGCCTTACACACTATGCCACAACACCAGCCCATGAGCATTTTATTTTTGAGGCGTCAGATGTTTCTCTTTCTTAAAGTAGAGGTCTTTTATTGGATCATGGTAATACCACACATTGGCTCCTACCGGGATCTGGTTTCTGTAGCTGGACAATGCTTAGCTCCTACCGGGATCTGGTTTCTGTAGCTGGACAATGCTTAGCTTCCATTTGTCAGTGTGCTGAACTGTTCTTTCTCCAGAGATGTCATCCACATGCTCTGACATCCTTGTTGCTAATCACTGTGGCTTGCTGCTTCGATGCAGCTGAATTTGAAGCCAGGTCAATGTCATTCCCTTCAAGGGCTAGCTCATCTCTCTGAGCTTGAGATACCAAACAACCAACACCTGGCCTCAACCGAACCTTGCAGATACGTTTTTCACCCAAGAAATTCTGGCTTTCAGCAAGAGACCCATTCTCCTGATGAAGGCAGTGAGGGGGAAGTGAGTGCACACAGACCTCATCCAGTAACAGAGGCCGGTGTAGCACCCTTGATCGTGTTTGGTCCTGGACTCCAGACAGCGCGCAAGGTAGTCAAGGCCTTTCTCCTTGCCTGCCACTCGTCAGCCTGCAGCCTCTTTTTCTTTTCAAGGAGCCTGATCCTACGTGGATGTGACTGAAATCTCAGTTACCGTGAGTGTGTCCCTTTAGGGCCATGGAGACATTTCCTGGAACACGGACAGTCTCATTGCTTTGCTGACAGTGGTCTTTCTCGCAGTAGTTGTGGCAAAGAATGGACCTTGCTTTAAGTTTCTTTCTTTTCTGATTGATTTATTTTTTGATCTTTATAATATATAAGTTGGGCAAATTGAGAGTTAATTTGTACTTCAAATTCTTTGCCCACTGGAGTTTGGAATTAGTGTTGTTATTTCTTCATGAAAAGTGTGGAGCTAATTTTAAAAACTTAGAAATTATTCTTATTTTGTTCTGATGGGAAGGCAGATCCAACCAGGTCCATTACCTGTTCTGAACAGCATATAAAACTATAATATCCAGCCCCGCTAGGCTGGGTTGCATTTGTCAGATGATTGCTCTGTGTCACGGGAAGTCGCTGGAAGATCACGACATGACATTGTGGGGAGATGGATGCAGGGAAATACTCTTTCTGCCTAGCCACGCACCCTGTGCAAATAGGACTCCTCCTCCATTGCCAGATCAGCACCTCAGGATTACTGTGCAAGAAGCAGAGGTGAGGTCAAGAGTGAGCGAGACCACATATGAATGCACAGACAGCCGTCCCCAAGTGTCCCAGGAGCCCGGCTTCTTGCTGCCTTTTGCTCCCATTGCCAGGAGAGAGATGCGCTAGCTCTGGACTGCATGCATTGCCCAGCGCCTCCACCAGCAGTGACGCACCTGGCAGCTGCAGCCCTGTGAAACCTGGGGTTTGTCCTTCTGTAAACACCGTAAACAGGAAGGCATACGTCAGCCATCTCTCAGCCTGCTGTAAACCTGCCTTTTGTAGCTGCAGAAAAGAACATTAGGTGGTGATGAAGAGCTCTCCCTTTTTAAAAAAAACATTTCAAATAAACGGAAGGGGCACGGACAGAGAAGGGGTTCCCTCAAAACCCAGTGTCTTCCATTCGATTCCTATTTGTGGATTAAGGATGCTGCAGGCAAAGTTTCTTTGGAGCTCATTGTTTAGAATGTACAACAAAAATAGCCTCCGAGAGCTGCTTGCCAGGAGAGAGGCTTTGCCGTGACCATGGAGATTAATCTTCTTCGTGGGAAATCAGCTGTTCACAGCACCGCCACAGAATGGCTCTTCCTGCCTGGGTGTTCCGTGGAGCAGCCAGTCCTGGGCTGTCGCCCCCTGATGCCCAAGTCCCTTGCACTGTTCCAGGAAGGTTGTCCATGGCTGTGGCCGTGGCTGGTTGGGGTGGGGGAAGCCAGACTTCTTCATTTATTCATTTACTCGTGAATTTACTGAATCATTGTCTGTGGCGCTCTCACTATGTTCCAGACTACGCTGGGTACAGGTGACACACGAGTGAGCTAAAGTTGACGCCATCCCAGTGCTGAGGGTCCTAGCAGTTCTGGGGGGACAGTAGGGGAGCCAGATGGCCCCATCATTAAATGTATGTTTACAGATTGAGGTATGAGAATTGGCAAAGGGGCTGGAACTAGGTGACAGTTACTCTGAGGAAGCTGTATGTGTGCGGTATTAGGATCTGAGGGCAGGGTGTGTGTCTGAGCAGAGAACATTCCAGGCAAGAGAGGAGGGAAGGCATGGGACCTCAGGGGTGACAGGAATACCCCAGGCCAGCCTGAAGAAGACAGGCATAGAGGTTAAAATTGATTAGGTTTGTGAGCTGTTAGACCACGCCTTCGGCATGCCCCTGTGTGACCTCATGCCCCTAACTGGCCACACCTGAGGGCCCACCGGCCAATCAGGTTAATTAACCACTCCCCTTTGGAAGTGGGTTAAAAGCCTGGGACAGGGTGTGTCCAGCCATTTACCTACTGGCCTCTAGCCAGTAGGGGGCTGGCTGCAGCCCTGGGCCTCCAGGGCACGTGCCCCCCACCCCCCCATGCTTCCTGGCCTAGATGCTTTTCCACGTGGCTGATTCCTGGTACTTGGTATGAACCCAGATCTACCTCTCTCTAGTAGGTAAAGCCCTCACTCTCCTATGCATCTTTTTTTTTTTAAGATTTATTTTATTTATTTGAAAGAGTTACAGAGAGAAGTAGAGACAGAGAGACACAGAGAGGTCTTCCATCTGCTGGTTCACTCCCCAGATGGCCGCAGCAGCTGGAGCTGAGCTGATCCGAAACAAGGAACCAGGAGCAGGGGCCCAAGGACTTGGGCCATCTTCTACTGCTATCCCAGGCCACAGCAGATCGCTGGACTGGAAGAGGAGCAGCTGGGACTTGAACTGGCGTGCATATGGGATGCTGGCACTGCAGGCCAAGGCTTTAAGCAACTGTGCCACAGCGCTAGCCCCTAACTTATGCATCTTTTGCACTGAATAAAAGTTTAAAATGTACCATGCTGCCTCATTCATGTATGCCAGTATTCAGAATTCTCTGAATATTAAGCAAGAACCCACACAGGCTTATTAATATTGGGAACTTATTAATAAGCATATGGTGATATTGTATGGCACCCCAAATTCCAATAACATGTGGCACCTCAGATGGGACTTTCAGGGAACTTTAAGGGACTACATTTTGATACATATTTTAGGGGGCCAAATTCCGATATCAAGACCATGTAGCAGTTAGAGATCTTGTAGAGAATTTTGTGTCAATTCTGAAGGCAAGTGGGAGGTTAGTGATGGGTTTTCATGTACCGGTGACCTGATGAGTGCTGTGTTTTGTAAAGATAACTCTTGCGGGGCCGGTGCTGTGGCACAGTGACGCAGTGGGTTAACGCCCTGGCCTGAAGTGCTGGCATCCCATATGGGCACCGGTTCAAGACCCGACTGCTCCACTTCCCATCCAGCTCTCTGCTGTGGCCTGGGAGAACAGTAGAAGATGGCCCAAGTGCTTGGGCTCCTGCACCCACGTGGGAGACCCGGAAGGAGCTCCTGGGTCCTGGCTTTGGATGGGCGCAGCTCCGGCTGATGTGGCCAATTGGAGAGTGAACCATCAGATGGAAGAATTCTCTCTCTCTGCCTTTCTTTCTCTCTGTGTGTAACTCTGACTTTCAAATAAATAAATAAATCTTAAAAAAATAAAAAGATAACTCTGGCTTTGAGGAGAAAGGGGCCTGGAGACAGTCCTGAGAGGCAGGTGGAACACTGCAGCTTAACACCGTGGGACTGGCTAGTTTCGGATCCGACATTCCTTGGTGCTCCCTCCTCTTTGAGCAGTGCTCAGGTGCTATGGGTGCTCCCCCAGACCCTGTATTCCTTGCGTTTGGAGACACACCTTATTTGCTCTTGGGGCTTCTGTAGTATCCTGGACACCAAGATTTGCGTCTACTCTGTGTGTCTTACAAAATGCCGTCTTTAAACAACGTGGCTAAGTGACTATGAGTTTGGTATTTCTTCTTGAAATGATTTTCAAACACTTGCTCCCAGAGAAGTAATAGGCAATGTTCAGTGTGCTCCTCTCCACTCCCGGGTTGTGGGCCAAGCTCAGAGCTGCACCAGCCTCTCCCGCCTCCCTGGCTGCTTGCTCTCCTTTTCTTTACATACAGGGCTACTGCAACTCCTCCTGTGCCTCAATGAAATTAATACATTGGGGGGAGGTGGTATAAAGTGCGTGAGAGACACAGGAAGAAGAGAGTTACTGTCACTTCTGAACTCAGAAGCCAAGGAACTGCTTCCTCTCATGCCTTCTCGTTTGTTCTCGCACCTTCTGGGCGAGTCTGGTTTTATTAAGAATCTCTCTGTCCAAGTCAAATCCGAGGGGGTATAAATAGCACTGCTCCTACCCCCATCTGACCCGCAGATGAAGATTAGCATAAACTCAGCCGGAGAGGTCAACAGGAGGACGAGGACCTGGGTTCTGGGTTAGTAGCCACTGAAATCAGACACTCAGAATCTCAGGCGAAGAATCTTTAGATACCGGGGCATTCACAGGAGAAAAGGAATTCCGGCTATTTTTCTCGTGCCAGGAGCAGGCGGTCCCAGATGGGAGAATCCTCGGACTGCAGAGGCTGGGCCTGTGGGCTGGATGAGCGTGAAAGGAGCAGAGCGCCAGGGTTACCTTGGGCCACTTCGCTCTGCCTTCTCCTTGCTCCTGCAAAACCGCGTCGGAAAGCAGCAGAGACAGGCGACTGCGATTTGTGTTTGGGTGCCGAGCCCTTCAACACAACCTGTGCTCTTCAGGCAGCCTTGGAGCCATAATGAAAACACAGTCCCTGCCTTCCATAGTTCAGTGAGCTGTTGTAAAGAAAAGCTAGATTATGTGTGCTAAAGCACCATGCAACTGACAAGATAAAATGGGGGAGTAATAATACCATGATACCATGGAAAACAAGCGCAGCAAACACGTAGCTCTTGCTTATTGCCAGGCACTGTTCTGAGTTTACATTCACGATTTCACTTAGTTCTCACTGTAACCTTTTGAGGGGAAAGTCTGTTGCTATCTTTATATTTCAGATAGGTGATGAGAACCACGGAGACCTGGAGGAACTCTAAGTAAGCCATCCAGGAAGGACTGGTGCTAGGATTTGAACCCAGGCTGATTCCTTTTAACCACTATGGTTTAGAGGGAAAAAAAGCCACAAAAGCATAAACTTTTGCCCACACTAGAAGACCAGCATTTGAATCCTGGCTTCACGGGCTGTGTTGTGTGGTCAGACTCTTAGGCAGCCTGGCTCTCAGCATGCTCATCAATGAAAACACTTGTAGATGTTTGGTGGGGATCAAATAAGAAAACATGCCAAATATAGTGTTTAGCCAACAAGAGTCATGTTAGCAGCTTATTAATAGATTTTGGTGGTGGGGTAGTTTGGTCAGACTGTCACTAAAAAAGAAATACCACAGCCCAGGTGGATTGAACAACAGGTTTATTTTCTCATGGTTTTGGAGGCTACAAGTCCAAGATCAAGGTGCCACTGAGTGGGTTTCCACTGAGTGCTGAGGGCTCTTGTCCTGGCTTGCCATCACCTTCCTGCCATGTCCTCACATGGCCTTTCCTGTGTTGAGGGGAGGGAGGAGAGAGAGGGAGGGAGATAGAAATAGAGAATAGAGTTATCTTTTGTCTCTTCTTCTAAAGACATCAGTCATGTTGGATTATGACCTCACCTTTATAACCTCATTTAACCTAAATTACCTCTGTAAATGCCTTATCTCCAAATTACAGTCACACTGGGCACTAGGCCTTCAACCTATGAATGTCAGTGGACACAGTTCAGTCCCTAGCAGGTGGGAAGCTGAGGAGAGAGGGCTGGGAGAGAAAGGATGTTTCTAGAGTTTTAATGTGTAAGGTAGATGTCTCAGGCATCGCCTCAGGGAGGAAAGGAAGCTGTGGCTATGTGTCGTCCGGCAGTAGGGAGAAGAGATCGTCACCAGTGTGTGCTATTTGCTTTCTCTTTGGTATTATGGAAAACGTCTTTCTATTTTCTATTTTTGATCTTGCCAGGTGAGCCTGAATTTAAATACATTGGGAATATGCACGGTAATGAGGCTGTTGGAAGGGAACTGCTCATTTTCCTGGCCCAGTACTTATGCAACGAATACCAGAAGGGGAATGAGACAGTCGTCAACCTGATCCACAACACCCGAATCCACATCATGCCTTCGCTGAACCCCGACGGCTTTGAGAAGGCAGCATCCCAGGTGGGTGCCCGGCTGGTCAGGTGGGGCTGGCCTTCCTCGTGATCCATGTGCTTGTACATATGTACACATCTCTAAGTAATGCTGTCATCTGGAGTTTCCACAAGGCTCACTGGAGAGTAAAAGTGGTACAGAATTCAGCTGGCTGGTAAGAAAATAAGCCAGAATGTGAGGGGTTAAAGAATTTCTTCTTCAGCAGAGACTGAATGAGAAGTTTTGTTAATCAGTTAATTTTTAATAATGTTTTGCTTGTGTTGTTAAATAATTCCGATTAATTCATCCTCGTTTATGACTAGATAAATTTCCTTCTAAAAATTTGCCAGTATGAAAAATACTGCTCTGTATTGAAGGGGAATCCCTCGGCTAGGTCTGGATGAGTCAGGGACACAGCGCCCTCTACTGAAACCAAGGAGGAAGAGCTTCTGGCCAGACCAATGTTTTAATAGCTGTCTAATCTTTGGTTAATCATGAGAAAAATTAAAAAAAAAAATAAATAAAAAAAAAAATAAAACAGAGGCCAGCCCCGTCGCACACTAGGTTAATTCTTCGCCTGCGGCGCTGGCATCCCATTTGGACACCAGTTCTAGTCCCGGTTGCTCCTCTTCCAGTCCAGCTCTCTGCTGTGGCGTGGGAAGGCAGTGGAGGATGGCCCAAGTGCTTGGGCCCCTGTACCCACGTAGGAGACTGGGAAGAAGCTCCAGGCTCCTGGCTTCAGATCAGCGCAGCTCCGTCTGTTGCGGCCATTTGGGGGGTGAACCAACGGAAGGAAGACCTTTCTCTCTCTCTCTCACCGTCTGTAATTCTACCTGTCAAATAAATAAATAAAAATCTTAAAAAAAAAAAACAAATAAAACAAAAAATAACTCGCCAATAAACTAAAAAAAATGTGATATACTTTGGCTGTTAGAGAGCTAGAAATGAATGGTATTTAAGAGAAGCTATAGAGTGTATTCTCATTTTGATTGGACAGGATTGGGGATATAATATTTGCGGTTTTCTTCAGTTTGAAATAATTTTCCTATTGTATGGGAACACAAGTAAAGCTTTTAATTTTTATTTTTTAAAGTAAATATTTTTTTTGTGTAGCTGCAATTAAGAAAATCCAGGGACCCAGTAGTTTGACATCTACTCACAGAGTAAATTTCTGTAAATAAGTATAATATTGATATGCTTTCCAAAGTTATAGGAGAAAAATTCTAGTAACAAAACTAAGTTATTTGATGTCTTAATGTGATATTGATCTTATAAGACAGATGAGTAAAAGATTATCATTGTTGTTTGGTGTCTTACAGATTTTTATTTCTCACAGTCTAAGGTATATAGGAGTACATGACTTAAAATTCCATCATAGACTTGAAGTAATTTAATCATAAAACAAAATTCACAACATTAAACCGAGTATCTTGGAAATTCATTAAGTTTCTAGGTTGTAGCACAGTGAAAAGAAGCATTTAAATTGGACAGAAATTCCTCAAATCGCAAGACTCTAGAACTTTTGTTCTAGAGCTTGTTTTTCTTCTTGAGGACTACTGGAAGGAGATGTGTTATTAAAACATGAATTATTCATGTTGGACTTATTTTAAGCTTCTAATCTTATTTAATGATTCTTTTAAATATTTAAAAATAGTTTGCTGTGATTTAGAGGCAACGAATATTTTAGTTAAATCTAAATACAGAATGTATGCTATTATTAATTAATATATACTGAATTTTTTGAAATTGAATGACACATACCTCTTAAATACTTATTAACACTTAAAATATGATTCATCGAAAATATTTTCAAAATATCCAAACAAGTACCTTAAATCGATACCTTCATTCTTTTGTAAGTAAAATGGTGAAAATTGCATTATGGGAGGATATCATTGAAATGAATACTTAATCCTTATTTTAAACTTATTTTAAAAACCATGAATAGAGACCTTATAGTTACACAATGCCGAATAACTGAGCATCTTTGTGATTTTTTTTTTTTTTTAGCCTGGTGAGCTCAAGGATTGGTTTGTGGGTCGAAGCAACGCCCAGGGAATAGATTTGAACCGGAACTTCCCAGACTTGGATAGGATCGTGTACGTCAATGAGAAAGAAGGTGGCCCCAATAACCATCTGCTGAAAAACCTGAAGAAGATTGTGGATCAGAACGCAAAGGTCGACCATACGTGTCGTCGTCGTTTTCCGGGCTGTGTCCTCTAAGCTAAGGCGATGGGCCCTCACGTGTTTGTTCTTCCTGAAGGATGCAGGCATGCGGCGGGCATCTGCCCTGTCACCTGCCGTGGTTTCAGTTACCCACCACCATCTCAGTCCAAAACGATTAAATGGGCAATTCCAGAAATAAACAGTTCACTAAGCTTTACATTGCGAGCTGTTCAGAGTAGCGCGATGGAACCTCGGGCTGTCCCACTCCATCCTCCCTGGCTGTGAGTCGTCCCTAAAGCATCCACACTGTATCTGCCACCCCACCATTCAGTGGTGTCTCTGTTAAAGAGATCAGCTGTCATGTTGTCACAGGGTTTTGTTCAAGTCATTCTTGAACAGTTTCCGGGATTGGGACCCCGATGTGTGAGAATAGTGACGTTGGCTATTTTATTACAGTATATCATTATAGCTCTATTTTCTTGTGAGTTATTGTTAATCTGTGACTGTGCCTGACTTACAAATTAAACTTTATCAGAGGGATGGATGTCTAGCAAAAAGCATCTTATAGAAAGGGCTTGGGAGTACCTGCAGGCATTCACTGCAGGTCTCAGAAAAGGGGCGAAGACTGTCACGTGTGGAGTAGTTAACTCTGACATGAAAGTCATGGCCAGCGGGCTGGTGCTGGACGTGAGTCCTGCTCTCTGGAATTGGGTTCAGGGGTGGGGACAGAAGGGAGGAACCCAGAATGGGCATCTCAGTCACCACGGCCCTGGATCTGTGTCCCTGTAAGTTCTCTTCAAGGTCTCCCGGCTCCATCGCTCTAGCTCCAGACCTTTGGTGGAGCTCCATTCTCAGTTTCACCTGCTCGCTGGGTCCCTTTGCCCAGTGGAACCCAGGGCCGCAAGCTTAGCTTCTCTGGAAACAACTATTTTCTCTTAGAGTCACTATTCTTCCATTATCCTGATCATGAAAACCTTTGATTTTTCTGCTCCCCGCCCTCACCAGCAGTGAGTTCCCACAGCTCCCACCTCTGCAGTCTCCTTTCCTTTGCAAAGACACCCCACAGCTTTAATTCAGGTCCCCACGGTCTGCTCTGCTGGGTGAGACTCCCACTCTTTGTGTCTAGCCTCTCTCCATTCTATTGAGTTTTCTCAGATTGCTCCACAGTGAACCTCTCCACCCCCCCCCCACAGTTACTCTTTTGCTTCAGACCTTGCCAGTGGTCCATAAAGTGAAGAATGCTGACAGAGTGAAAAGCCAGTATGGGAGAACAGTGTGATGGTGAAACTCGGAGACCCTGACTCAAGTTCTGGCTCCGAGATTTGCTGTGTGAACTTTGAAAGGTTACTTGACATCTCTGTGCTTCAGTGTCTTCATCGGGGATGTGGAGACAGCAGCAGTGTCCATCTCATAAGATGCTCATAGAGACTGAAAGAGTTAACAGGTGTAGGGCGTGAGGTCGGGAGCCAGAACTGTTATCATCTCCGTGTAATTTCTCAGCGCTTCCTGTTAGGGAGGTACTCAGGACTAGATGGACACATACTCACTCAGCACTGGTGTCTTCAAACCAACATTTTTTCAGTGCTGCAGAGAAGCTGAGCCCACAAGGAAGAAGCGCAGGAGGCAGCTCTCAGTTCCTGCTTGGTTGCCGCAGGCAATTCTTGCTCTAAGTGGGAGGGGGAAAGAGCCATTTCCCCACCTGTTATAGCTTCAGGGTCATTCACAAGTCCCTTGGCCCCTGGAAGCTGCCAGCTGGCTCACCCCTTAATCTGGCTTGGATGCTTGGTACAACCACACCCTCTCCTTGTTCCCAGGATTTTGTTTTCTGACAGTTCAGTGCCTGGCTCTGAATCGTCCCCAGGCCTGGGATCCCTTGCCTTTGCTCCCAGGTCCCCCCCGGGCAATGTCCCTCTGCTCTTGAGGATGCGTCCTGAGAAGCCTTGCTCTGTGTTCTCCAGGGCAGTGCTCACTGTCGCAGGAGCATTCCTCCTCTCACCGGGATTTGTTTATGTGGCTGCCTTTCTCCATGAGTCTGCATCTTACCCCCTTGTTCCCAGGGCCTGCTATGACTGAAGGTGCAATCCAGTCTCACAAGCAAATCTGAAAAATGTAGGATGTGAAAGTGCAGTCACGAACAATCCAGGCTGGGACACTGGGGAGAGGGTCCTCAGGCAGAGGGTCCCGGATTGTTGACCTAAATTCTCGACATTCTGCTGCCTGTGTTTAGGAGTCCTCCCAGAAACCTGGGCTCAGCCTACAGGCGGAGGCTGGGCTGCCTCTGGGCTGCCAAGGGCTAGGCTCTGGCAGGACCTTCTAAGTGAGTGACCAGAGCTTCCCTGCCTGGGAGTCACAGACACACTCGCTGCTTCTCAGCCCCCCCTCCCCCCAAAGTACCTTTTCCAGGGAGAGGGAGAGCTGGACAGGCGGAGGGCCAGCGAAGAGGGTACAGTCCTGTTAGTATGACTTCAGCAGAAACAAAACTCTGGCCTCAGACTTTCCCATCTTTGTCTTTGTTGAACCCGCCTTTGTTACATCTGAGAAGCAAGGAAAATAATTTCTGGCACCTGATATGGAAGAATTGTGAACTGAACTCATGTTGACCAGATGTTTGATTGGCAACTTTGTGCAAGTGACATTATTTCCAGCCTGCACCACCTTCTCCATCCCAGCTTTAACCGGGATAATATTTGTGTAATCTCTAGATATTTTGTATTTCCAGCTTAGGCAATATTTGCTTAAATGATGCATGCTCATTGGTATTATTATTTTTTTTAAATATTTATTTGAAAGGCAGAATGACAGACGAAGAAAGAGAGAGAGAAAGAAAAAGAGACAGATTTTCCATTTGCTGGTTTACTCCCCAAATGCCTGCAATAGCCAGAGCTGAGCCAAGTTGAAGCCAAGAGCCTAGAACTCTATCCAGGTTCCCCCTATGTGTGGCAGGGACCCAAGTACTTGGCTTATCACCTGCTGCCTCACAGACATGTTAGCAGGAAACTGGATTGGCAACAGGGCAGGGAGTTGAGGGCAGAACTCAATCCCAGACCCTCCAAAATGGGATGCTGGCTTCCTAAGTGGTGGCTTAACCTGATTGTACCACAATGCCTATGCCGGTGGTATTCTTTTAAATAAGAACTTTTATTGAGGGGCTGGTGCCGTGGCTCACTTGGTTAATCCTTCGCCTGCGACACCAGCATCCCATACGGGTGCTGGGTTCTAGTCCCGGTTGCCCCTCTTCTAGGCCAGCTCTCTGCTGTGGCTCTGGAAGGCAGTGGAGGATGGCCCAAGTGCTTGGGCCCCTGCACCCGCATGGGAGACCAGGAGGAAGCACCTGGCTCCTGGCTTCAGATTGGTGCAGTGCCGGCCATGGCTGCAATTTGGGGGATGAACCAACGGAGTGAAAACCTTTCTTTCTGTCTCTCTCTCTCACTGTCTATAACTCTACCTATCAAATTAAAAAAAAAAAAAAAACAAAACTTTTGTTGAAAAAAACCAAAAAACAAAAAATCAATGCCGCTACTTTTTCTAGATAAATGCAAATTAAAGAAAAATACATGGAAATCAAAGTTTAATCCCCTTCCTGAAACATAAAGCAAGATGTGTTTACTGTATACTGATTCTTCAGTAAAGCTGTTTATAATTGGGGGATGGTATTGTGCGTGTCTTGTGCCTTGTCTCCGTTTCCCCAGTTTGTCAGTAAGAATGTGGGAGTGTTAAGACCCAGCAGGGAAGAGACAGTTGGCAGGGATTTCATAAGCGTCACTATATATCCCCTCCCACTCCCTTCCCTTCGCCCCTGATACCTCTGTCTGTGTATATCACACCTAGGAATGCTTTGGAATCGCAAGGTTAGCTCTGCTGTTTGCTGGGCCAGCCTTCCCCTGTTAGAGATGCAGATTCCAGCTGATACGGCTCCATGGAGTCTGGGGTGTGTGCTGTGGCCTTGGTGGTGGAAGGAGTTGACATTCTCCACGAGCCCCTGGTGCTCCGGGGCCCCCCTGAGACGGGCCGCGAGGCCAACACTCTCCTGGCCCCTCTGAGCCTCTCTGCCTAGAGCTTCCTCTTGCTCTTCTTCCTGCTGGGTCGTTTCTCACCTGCTCTTGAACTGTCGGTCCAGCTGCCTCCCCTGTCATCCAGGCTCAGTGGATGAAAATGCATCCCATAATTTGTTGAGTTTATACTTACCTTTAATGGTTACCGTTGTGAAGAAACCTAAATCAAATGAGGAACTTCAAACAGTCCATGGAAAAATCGGGGAGCAGCTGTTTGGCCTAGCACCGTGCCTGGGTCCCACGTTGAAGTGCCCGAGTTTGAGTTCTGGCTCCTGCTGCTGGCTCCAGCTTCCTGCTAGCATGCTGGAAGGTGGCAGTGGTGGCGCAGGCGATTGGGTCCTTGCCACCCATGTGAGAGACTCAGACTGTATTCCCAGCTCCAGGCTCCAGCTCTGGCCCAGCCCGGCCTCAGTTGTTGTAGGCATCTGGGGAGTGAACTGGAGGATAGGAGGTTTATCTCTCTCTGTCTCTGAAATAAAGAAACAAAAAAATTTTAAAGTTTATAGAAAAGTAGAGTTAACAGATATGTTTAATTTGGTGTAAAACTTTTGAAATCCATGCATAACCTTTTTATGGTATGTATTTTCTATACATTTTTAATACCACTCCTAGAGTTTCAACTTGTTTTGGGAGCCAAAGTCATCTAATGATACAGCCTAATATTTGAGCTGCATTTACAGTCTTTAAATGGAAGTTCAAAGTTAATGAAGAATTTATTTTTATTTGAGAGACAGAGACAGATGCACATAGATATTCCTCTTCAAACGCCCTCAGTAGCTGGGGCCGGGCTGGCAACTTAATCTTAGTCTCCTACATGGCTGGCAGGGAGCCAAGTCCTTGAGCCCTCACCTACTGCCTCCCAGGGTGCACATTAGCAGGAAGTTAGAAATGAGAGCAGAGCCAGGACTTAAAGCCAGGCACTCTGATGTGGGATGAGGGCCACTCAAGTGATATCTTGGCCACTGTAGCAAATGCCTGCCCCCAAGTGCAGGCTGTAAAGATAGGCCACAGCTGGTTTTAGGTTCCACAGTGGCTTGATCTTAGGGGTGTCTTGGTGTCTTCTCGGTGGGCCACTTAAATGTGAGGAGTTCTCAAAAAGTTCTTTAGGTAGCAAAGTTATGAGTAATTTTAATTTTCTTGTTTGTGACTATCTGTCTCCTCTACAGTTTGTGCAGTGAGCATTTGTTAATAGTGAGGGTAAAATCCACCAACCAGACAAATAGCAAAAATAATACCCTAATCTTTTTGTAACCAACATACAATAAGTTCATGAATTTTTGGAGTATGGTATGATAATACAGCAAACACATTGTGGGGTGATCAAATCAGGGTATCTACTGTTTCTCTTTCCTTAAACATTTACCATTTCTTTGCATTGAGAGCCTCTGGACTCCTTTTTCTAGTTCTTTATACAACATGCAATAAGTTGTTGTAAGCTATAGTCACCCTGCCATGTTGTAGAACATTACAACTTATTCTTCCAGTTAGCCATGTTTTGCTACCCCTTAACAATATCCTAAATCACCCTTTTCCACAGTTCTGAGTAGCACATGTGAAGAATAGGAGAGTTTTCTGCAGTGACGCTGACATACTAAGAGTAATGTGTGTCTTTGGATTGGAATCCTCACCTGTGTGGACTTGTGCATGGTATTTCACACCCCCCAGCATCAGATTCTCCCCTGGGAAGTGGAGCTCCCTGTCTTTGTATACCCAGTGAGGTGTTATGAAGTGCAATAAAATAGCATATATGAGAGCTGTTCATAAGCCAAACTGGGATACACAAATACATGATCTCACCCTGACCAGCAACCCATATGGATGCCTTTAGAATTGCTGTCCCAAAGAACAGTACAGATCACATCTCCAGGGACAGCTTTTTTCTTTTTACCACAGAAATACTTGGAGTTTTAGAATCTCCCCCACTGCTATTAAAAGCTCATCATATAAAAGTATCAAGTTTTTGGCTCCAGATTAATTTTTTGGTATAATTTTTTCTCCTTTGTTTTGCTTCCAAGATATGAGGGGATGTGAATCATTCAAAAAACTCAACATGAATTCCTGAAACGTGTGCTTTTGTTTGTAAATTTAAGATGATCATTCCAAAGTAAACTGAGATTTTATAGTTACCTCTAAAATAGACCCAGACTAATATTCTTTTATAGGGACAGTGTTTGAAGTAGTAGAAGAAAACTGGAAAAATAGTAAGCCAAAGTTGGAAATAAAAATCTACCACGTGTTTGAAGAACCTTAGATGAGGAACTCTGCTCTGTAGGCCAACTGTTATCTTCTCTCCTTATCTTATTCTTAACTATTACGAGCCGAGATGCATGAGCTATGACAGATCAGCTAAAGCTGTCCCGACATTTGTAAGTGATTTGCAGGTTTGTTTTCAATTTACCAAAGAGAGAAAAACAGACAGAACTTGTAAAGAAATTTAAGTGCTATTGAAATATTTTTTATTATACATCTGAGAAAGATAGATATGGGGGCTGCTGCTCTTACAGGAAACTTTTCCAATGAAAACAACCGCAAAGTGGTTGAAATAGGACCAGGTTCCAGTTTTTTTTCTTGACCTTTCCTATGTCTTTGCTGTCATGAGAGCGTACCAATGACTCCAATTCATAGTCCTTTTCCTCTCCAATCTTTCATATAGCTTGCGCCTGAGACCAAGCCTGTCATTCACTGGATTATGGATATTCCTTTTGTGCTCTCTGCCAATCTCCATGGAGGAGACCTTGTGGCCAATTATCCCTACGATGAGACCAGGAGTGGTAGGTATTCTTGCCTGTCCAACTGGTTCATGGTTTGCAATGACTATGCTCAGTGAGGGTATATAGGATGACTTGTGTGATACTCTTTTAGATAACCAGTCATTAAGTGATAGACATACGTATTGTTTAACAGGAACATCCCCTAATAATTTCATTTAGCAGTGGCACATCTGTTGGACATAAAAAGACTGTAATGTTTTTTCAAAGCTTAGGTGAATAGAAACAGGATTTTTTTCAAAGGTGTATTTGTTTAACTTGAGAGGGAGAGGAAGAAGGAGAGGAGAGGCAAAGTGGCGGAGGGGAAGAGTGAGTGAGTGAGAGAGAACCTTCCTGTTCACTGGATCAGTTCCAAATGCTTGCAACAGGCGGGACTGAGTGAGTGGCTGGGGCAGAGCCAGGAGCCAGGTGTGCAAGTTCAGTCTCCCACGTGGGTAGCAGGAACCCAATAACTTGAGAGATCAGTGCAGCACTGCTGCCTCCAGTGTCTGCATTGGCAGGAAGCTGGAGCCAGAGCCAGAGTTGAACTCGGGCATTCTGATGGGGCGGCCTGTGTTCCAATGGCTAGGCTAGATTCCTGCCCCCCGCCCCCAAACATGATGCCGATAGAATACTTCTGAAAAGAAAAGAAGACAGAAGTCACAAAATTGGGTCGCTCCTGGTCACTGGTAAAAGGGAGCGATTACAGAAATTACATAGGCTTGTGCGCCAAGGACTTCCATACAGAGACAGCCTCCTGGTGCCTGGGCAGGGCGCCGTGACTCTGTGTATCTTGGTGTGCGCTTTTTCTGGGGATGCCAGGAAGGGGAACTGTTGCTTGGTCTCCTCCATGAGTTTCAGTTGCACCTCAGGTAGCGCAAGCTTTAGCTAGTTATTTCAGCTTATTTTTTCTTGCTCCAGGAAGTTTCCCGCATCGTATCCATTCCTGGGGACCTTGAAAGAGTTAGCGCTTTGTAAACATGCGATGATGCTTTTAGATATCGGGAAGCTTTGGGAGTTGAAGAAAGGTTAGCGAAACAAAATTGTTAAATAAACTTAGAAATTTTGTGGCTTGTCAGGAGCTGGGAAATTTGTAGGCTAGGAATACAAGAGGAGCTCCAAAAACCTCAAAAAACTCCAAAACGTGCAATTGAAAGATAAGTTTATAGGAAGTTTGGAATCCATGCATAGTTTTCACATAATACAGTTTTCTGTGAACCTTTTGAAGTCCCCTCATATTTTATAGTACATAAGTAAGAATTCAAAGCATAAAATTAATATGATGTATTTCTTCAATGTACATAGGAGATTTAAAACGAAATCTAAAGTAGAATACTGAATAGCTTGTGTGAGAGTGGTTCATAGAGTCAGTGAGGTTTGTGCAGGTGCATTTTTAAATAACATTTAATCAGCAGGATTGTCTCTGTTATCCTTACCTGAGTAAGAGTTCATGGGAAATGCATATTATGGGAAAACTATGGTTGCAAAATTTTTTTGCACCACAGTAACCTTATTCTTTAATTCCATTTTTCATGAACTTTTTGAAGTCCTGTTTTATGGCCTTATCAGATTTTCTTGTGAAGTTCCAGTTAGTAAGTGGCATATGCATTCTATCCAACTTCTCCATGGCAGTGCTAGGAGTGGAAGTTACAGAACCTAAGCACAATGGGTAATAGTTTAGTACTTAACCCTTCACCCCATTTCCCCTAGTGACATAGCTGGAAAAAAAAAGTACCAGTAAAAACTCAACACGGAATTGCTCCTTGGAAAAACAAGCAGGGTATTTTGATCAGTGTCGAGTCCCTTCATCTTGAGAATTATTTTTTCAGGAAGTGCTCATGAATACAGCTCCTGCCCAGATGATGCCATTTTCCAAAGCGTGGCTCAGGTGTACTCCTCTTTCAACTCAGTCATGTCTGACCCCAACCGGCCACCCTGTCGCAAGAATGATGATGACAGCAGCTTTGTAGAAGGCACAACCAACGGTGGTGCCTGGTATAGTGTGCCTGGCGGTGAGTTTCCATTCTGATCTTTGTTTATGTGGTGGTTGCTTATTGACAGTTACCACTGAGAGTCAGCCATTCATCCTCCTCCATTGTTATAGAGTACATTGAATTTACAGTTCTACCAATAAATATCCTGTCTATTTTGTGCAAATTTTTTGGTAACTAAGGCATACTTTTTCATGATACCTGTTTTCCATGAATTTTTTTCTCATTTGAGAGACTGAGAGAGATACAGACAACAAAGCTCCCATCTGCTGGTTTATTCCCCCAAAGCCTGCAATGGCCAGGGTTGGGTGGTTGCTGAAGCCAGGAGCCAGGAACTCAATTCATATCGTCCATGTGGGTGGCAGGGACCCAACTACTTGAGCCATCACCTACTGCCTCGTAGGGTGCATATTAGCAGGAAGCTGTAACGAGAAGCAGTGCCAGGATTTGAATCCAGAAACTCCAATATGGGATGCGGTTGTCCAAATGAGCAGCTTAACTGCCAGGCTAAATGCCCACTCCCCCATGAACATTTTGCAGACCCCTCCTATGTAGCATCGAGCCTCCCACTCCATCAGGGATGTACTGTGATATTGGGGATTCAGGAAAGGGATAATATGTCAATCGTCGCACACGACTCTCCAAGGTCTTCCCTGATAGAAAGGTGAGCTTAGTGTTCATGTGTCCAATAGGAGAAGACATCAAAAAGTTCATGGAGGGGCTGGCGCTGTGGCTCACTTGGTTAATCCTCTGCCTGCGATGCCGGCATCCCATACGGGTGCTGAGTTCTAGTCCCGGTTGCTCCTCTTCCAGTCCAGCTCTCTGCTGTGGCCCAGGAAAGCAGTGGAGGATGGCCCAAGTGCTTGGGCCCTGCACCCGCATGGGAGACCAGGAGAAAGCACCTGGCTCCCGGCTTCAGATCGGTGCAGCGCCGGCCATAGCGGCCATTTGGGGGGTGAACCAATGGAAGGAAGACCTTTCTCTCTGTCTCTATCTCTCATTGTTGATAACTCTGTCAAATAAATAAAAAATAATAAAAATAAAAATAAGAAGTTCATGGAAAACACAATACTAATTTGAAAATTCTATCCATGAACTTTTCTTTTTAGATAGAGATGATTTATTAATTATTTATTTGAAAGGGAGAAAGAGGCAGAGAGAGAGAGAGGGAGGAAAGGCGGGAGAGGTGGGGGGAGGGGAGAGAAAGAATACGAATTTCCCATCTACTGGTTCACTCCTCAAAAGCCAGCAACAGCTGGTGCTGGGCCAGTCCAAACTGCAAACTCAATCCAGGTCCTGCATGCAGGTGGCAGGAACTCAAGCACTTGAGGCATCACCTGCTGCCTCCTAGGGTGTACATTACTAGGAAGCTGTAATGAGAAGTGGAAGAAGGACTCAAACTCAGGCAGTCCAGAATGCGATGTGAGCAAACCAAGCGCCATCTTTATAGCTGCACCAAGTGCCCACCCCTCCGTGAACTTTTTAAGGTTCCATTGTACCTTAGTAGGAATTGAATCTTTTACCTTGTTGTCTTTCTTGAAGCCCATTTCAGAAGCAGGGAATGTGGGTAACACCTGCCTTAGCACCCTGCCTCAGCAATGCATTAAGCTAAATGATCGCTTAAGAACCTAGGAGAGATGGTGCTTTAAGGGTAGTGACTGTCTTTTCTAAGTGTGTTTTTCAATACTGATGGTAGGAAGTTTCCTACAAACTTCCGCAAATGCACCAGTTGGTGTATCTTTTGCTTGGCCCTCAAGGTGGCAGAGTGGCCTGTGTAGAGTTTTAATCACCATGAGAGTATTTGATTTTCCATTTGGTGCTTTGGCAGGGATGCAGGACTTCAATTACCTCAGCAGCAACTGTTTCGAGATCACGGTGGAGCTCAGCTGTGAGAAGTTCCCACCCGAGGAGACCCTGAAGAGCTACTGGAAGGATAATAAGAACTCCCTCATCAGCTACCTTGAGCAGGTAAATGCAGTCCTCAGCATGCAATGGGAGATTCAGGAGCATTTACACTGGTGTACAACAGTCTCCCAAGAGGTGTTCAGTCCGAGGCATCCATCTGCCCCAGAATGAGGCTGTCTTATTTGGAAGACAGGTGCTGGCCATGGGTTAATTAGGCTTTCACTTGTCATAGCTTTTGTGCTTCATGACTATTCACTGAGAATGTCTACACAGGAGAGTTGTGGAGAAGTGAGGTAGAACCTTGTTTTCATCTGTATTATTCGAAACGAGCAATCCCGGACTCTCACCTTCCCTGAGCCCCTTCGGTGTGTGGCATCCCAGGAGGCCAGGGGCTGAGTAGGGAAAGTGAGGCCCACAGAGTGCACTTAACTCTTGAGCTCATGCAAGTGTAGCAGCAAGACTGCGGGTGAGTTTGTTCTTGACCGTATGTCCTGCATCCCTTGCTTGTCTCAGCCTAGCTCAGCTGCGTCATGGGTAATCACGATCATGGCAGCTTACACTGGCTGGGCACTTACTGTTTCCCAGTCATTATCCTAAATGACTGGCATGTAACAATAGTGGCACTTTGTCCTCATGACAACCCTATGAGGGAAGTTACATCAGTACTACCACTACCACCACCTCCACCACCACTACCACCACCACCATCACCTTCCTCAGTGTGTGAATTAAAGATGAAGAATCAGCTACACAGGGAGGTTACACAGGGAGGTCCTTCAGTCGGAATTTGAATCCAGAATCACTGTGCTCTATGCCTCTTATGACATAACTGGGACAGTCACCAGAGAGTCACTGATGCAGCCCTTCTGGTGAGATCCATGTAGAATCGCAGAGGTTCTCATCCTCTGCCAGCACTTCACTGCTTAAGACCGGGACAGCCCCTCGCTGCCTCACTCCCTGTACAGGATGTGACATTGGTATTGGGCAGGGGCAGTGGAAGGACGTAGACGCCATTCCTTGCCTGAGTGCCTAGACAGTATTTGAATTCCGTTCTGAATGTGGTCATTTACACCCAAAGTCCAGTAGAGTGATGTCAACATCCATGACAGCAGAAACACACATTTATTAAGCTAATCTGATATGAACAAAGGCTGTTAATATTTAGTCACTTACATATACACATGTGTTTGTATAAACATATATATATATAACCAATTCATTTTTCAAAAATCAAAGTCAGCTTAGCAACTCTTCTACACGTGTCAAACATCCGTACAGCCCTACTAACAAGGACTATCATGGACTAGAGCCACTGGAATGGACCCGATTACAGAATGCCCATTCCACAGGATTTTTTTTAAAGCTTTTATTTATTTATTTGAGAGGTGGAGTTACAGACAGTGAGAGGGAGAAACAGAGGGAGAGGTCTTCCATCCATTGGTTCACTCTACAAATGGCCGCAATGACTGGAGCTTTGCTGATCCGAAGCCAGGAGCCAGCTGCTTCTTCCTGGTCTCCCACATGGGTGCAGGGGCCCAAGGACTTGGACCATCTTCTGCTGCTTTCCCAGGCCACAGCAGAGAGCTGGATTGGAAGAGGAGCAGCCGGGACTCGAACCGGCGCCCAAATGGGTTGCCAGCGCTGCAGGTAGAGGATTAACCTACTATGCCATGGCGCTGGCCCCATTCCACAGGATTTTTTCAGTCAGGGGATTCCTGTTGCAAATTAGCATAAAAATATGTTTGAACCACAAAAGCTAAGGATAAGTAGCCATGTTCCAAACCCAAGATCAGGTTTGGTGGGAACCCTATAGGTCTTCTTTGAAGACAGCTGTGTTTAGATGGATTTTCTTTTTCTTTTTTTTTTTTTTTTCACATTGAAGTCTCTTTATTCCTTTAAGTGTATAGAATGGGGTTACTATCCATCCTGTGTCCGCACCCACAAAGCCTCCCACTGCCCTTGGCCAGGCGGTTCCTCCGGGCTCTGAGCTCCGCTGCCTGCCTTGGAGCGGGGCCTGCACAGAGCTGGGGGCGGGGGCTCAGGTCCCTCTAAAGCAGGGTGGTCCGCCCAGCCCTGCCCGTCCAACCACAGCAGGGAGTCTCAGCCGGCAACTTTGTTACAACACCCAGGCGCCTGGGCAGGGGGAGGGCACCCCACACACAGCCCGGACTCTCCCCAGCAGGGCGGGGCCTGTGTGCTTCTCCCCTGGGGACCAGGTTTCGGCCCGCAGCTCTGTGTGGGAGGGGCAGCCGGGGGTGCCTGCCCAGGTGGGCGGAGGCGAGCAGCACACGCACAGCCCCCAGCCGTGGCCTGACCTGTCAGGGCCGGGGTCTGCCCTGAGTGGGGCACAGGTCTTTGAGAAGGGGGGGCACCGGGTCACAAGGCAGAGGCCGATCTGGGGGCGCTCGTGGGGCTGGGGTCCTGGGGGCCCCGGCCGCAGGCACTGTGTAGGGACACCTTGCCCTTGGCCTTGGTGTGATTTGGGTCTGACCCTGGGCACCCGGCAGCTGAGCGGGAAGCCAGGTCTGTGGGGCCACCATGGGCAGGAGGGAGCCGGCGCCACACCTGCCAGGGCCTAGCCTCCGAGGCGGGGGGTTCCAGGGGTGGTCCCCACACCACGGAGCTCTGGGGTGACCTTGACTGGCCATGGGCAGTGGGACAGGAGTGACGGTGGCGGGGGGCCCTGCCCAGCTGCTTCCTGTCCTCTCTCTGTGCACAGCCGGGTGGGGGGACTCTGCCCAGGACCCTCCAGTGGTGGGGTCCTTCGGTGGTGACCACAGGTAGCCGGCGGCAGCGTCCTGCCCAGGGGGGACGAAAAGTGGAGCTGATTCCTTCTCCACCTCTGCCAGGCAGGGACCCAGACCCCACCCCTGAGCCCCTCCTAGCTCTCCATCTGCTCCCATCAGCGCCTTCCCTTGAGGGAAGTAGCCCTGGACCCAAAGGGACACGGCGGGCTCTCCGGCTCTCGGAGGCCACTCCACCCTGGCTGCCACAAGGGGGCGCCAGGGGCACGAGCAGCGCTCACGCCGCGCCCTCTGCTGGCCACTGTCCGAAGTGCAGCCGGAGTGACCAGGGCCTTTCTCTGCGGATGCAGCAGCCCAGGGTCAGGGGAGGGAGAGCACCGGTCCTCGTAAACGTGGGGGCAGGGCTGCCTGGTAGCCGGTACTGCGAGGGGACCGCACTGTCCAGCCGACCGGGCATGGCAGCCCCACCCAAGCCAGCTCCAAGTCCGCGTCCTGGCCTGGCCGCTAGATGAAGGTGGAGTCCAGAGGCCCCGCGTCCTGCTGGCTGAGCGCGCGGGCCTCAAACAGCTGCTTGATGAGCGCGGACTTCTCCTGCTCCAACTGCGTGATGCGCTCGCTCTTGTCGGTCACCTCCTGCGTGAGCAGCCGGTTCTGCTCCTTCAGCATGAGAATGGTCTGTTGCTGCCGGCCAGGGGCCGGGGGCGAGGTGGACGCCAGGGCTGGGCACTGCGGCCCCAGGGAGGACGTGGGCGGAGCCCTGCCCGCACAGGCCGCGGCCAGCAGCTCCCCCAGGCACCGGGCCACCTCCTGCACCTTGGGCAGCAGCTGCCCCAGGGGGCGGGGCCCCCCTGCAGCCCCAAAGTCCAGGCTGCAGTCCACGCCGTTGGTGATGGTGTGCCTCCGACGCTCCCCTCGGGCACGGGGTCCCCGCCGGCTGTCCCCTGTGCCCGCCTGGGGGGCCCTGCAGGCCGCTGCACCGGCGTCTGCGCTCCTGCTCCGCTCCAGCGCCGCGCCCTGGGGCCGCTCCGGCTCCGCGGGGCAGGGCGCCGCCTCCGCCGGGCCGCACGGCCGCTCGGGGCTCCGCGGGCCCTGGGGCAGGGGCCTCCTCTCCAGCACGGTGCGCGGCTCGTCGGCCGGAGCGAAAGCCAGACGCTGCGGCGGCGGCGGCGGCGGCGGCCGGGCCGGGGCGCGCGCGGGGCCCCGCGGGCCGCCGTCAGCGCTCAGCAGCGAGGCGCGCAGGCCGGCCACGAAGCGCTCGAAGGTCAGGTAGCCGCTGGCCGGGGCCACCTGGCGCAGGCCCTCGAGGACGCCTCGGGGCAGCTCGCGCGCGTCGGCGCCCTGCCAGCGGGACTCGATCTCCCGCAGATGCACGCAGCCGCGCCGCCGGTCGTCCAGGATGTCGAAGAGCGTGCGCAGGCTCTGCAGGAAGGCGCGCGGCAGCCCCTCGGTGCTCGGCCCGGGCGCGGGCGCGGGCGCGGGTGCCGGCGCGGCGGGAGGCTCGCGGCCCCGCTCGGCCGTCGCGGCCCCGGCCATGGGCGCGGGCTCCTTCCCCGCGCGCGCTGCCCGACCGACGGCGGGGCCGGCCCGGCGCGCGCGGCCTAGATGGATTTCTAAGATCAAGTTTAACTGAGGCCAGCGCCACAGCTCACTAGGCTAATCCTCTGCCTGCGGCGCCGGCACACCAGGTTCTAGTCCCAGTCGGGGCACCGGATTCTGTCCCGGTTGCTCCTGTTCCAGTCCAGCTCTCTGCTATGGCCTGGGAAGGCAGTGGAGGATGGCCCAAGTGCTTGGGCCCTGCACCCGCATGGGAGACCAGGAGGAAGCACCTGGTTCCTGGCTTCGGATCCGTGCAGTGCACCAGCCATAGTGGCCATTTGGGGGGTGAACCAACGGAAGGAAGGAAGGAAGACCTTTCTCTGTCTCTCTCTCACTCTAACTCTGCCTGTCAAAAAAAAAAAAAAAAAAAAAAAGAAAGAAAGAAAAGAAATCAGCTGAAAAGAGGGATGAAGTTATGTACTCTTTTGGAAGTCACTTGGACAGAGGTTTGCTCTGTGATGCACATGACCTGCCCTGACACGGTGCTGGTGTTAGGGGTGCGAGCTGTGTAGCAGCAGATACAGTGGTCTTTTGTAATGAACAGGCTCATACAGCTGACACCATAAACACTACGTTTAGGGAATCCGAAGCTGATGAAAGATCAGGGAAGACTGCCAGGAGCTCTGCCTTGATGTGTTCTTGACAGTGGTGGTGACTACTGATTGAACACCTGGGCCTAAAATCTAGGCCGGGACCAGTTTGCACTTCATGGAAAGTAGGTGATTAGTGGCGCTAACTCTGGTTGGTTGGGAAGGAATCTCCTGCAGGGTTTTAAAGGAATGTTTGCAAGAATTGAGACCTGTGAAGCTAATTAGGTAAATGGTGTGCTGAGAAGTAGTGTCTCCCACTCAACAGCTTTGGAAAGGTCTATTACGAAGATTCTCAGGGGATCTTGCAGGACTGGTTCATGGGTACCTGTATCAGAATCATCTGAGTCCTTAAAAATGAATTTCTTGTCTCATGTGGAGTCACACTCTTTCAAAAACTCTTCTTTTTTTTAATGTTTATTTATTTGAAAGGCGGAATTAGAGAGAGAGAGAAAGAGCGAGAGAGCGAGAGAGAGAGAGAGAGAGAGAGAGAGAGACGCAGATACTCTATTCACTGGTTTACTCCCCAAATGTCTGCAACAGCTGGAGCTGGGCCAATCCAAAGCCAGGAGCTTCGTCCAGGTCTCCCATATGGGTGGCAGGGACCCTGGGGCTTGGGCCATCTTCCACTGCTTTCCCAGGTGCATGAGCAGGGAGCTGGATTGGAAGTGGAGCAGCCAGGACTCAAACCAGGACCCATATGGGATACTGGCACCACAGGCTGTGGCTTTACCTGCTATGCCACAGCACTGGCCCCTCAAAAACTCTTTGGGTGATACCTAAGTACATAAGAGGTTAAAAGCTACTGATACAATAGTCCCAGCAACAATGGAGAATCTCTTGGATGCCTTTTAAACTGTGGTTGAAATGGAAACGCCCTAGAATCTGGGTAGAGATGATTAGAGGGGCAGGGGTCATGAACAGCCTCTCCAAGTTGTGAGTGAAACTTGAACTTCTGTGATTTCCTTTGCAAAAGCCATGCAGTGATAGTGTTTTCCAACCTGAATTCATGTGGGGTTCTGACAGCCCATAACCCTTCTGTTGGTATTTATTACTGCAGTGGAATCATTTAAACAGAAAAGTTGGCATATCAGAAAAAAGAATAAAGAAAAAATAAAATTGAAAGGATAAAAGAGAGAAAAATGCTGCCCACAATTGGCATAGTAGAGGGAGATGCTTTCAAAAAATATTTATTCATTTATTTGAAAGGAAGAGCATTGGAGAGAGTGATAGCGAGAGAGCGAGAGGGAGAGAAGGAGAGAGAGAGAGCGAGAGCGAGAGGAATGGCTGCAGCTGCCAGGCCTGGGCAAGGCTGAAGCTGGGAGCCTGAACTCCCTATGACTGGCAGAGGCCCAGGCACTTGGGCCACCCTGTGCTGCCTTTCCAGAGCACTAACAGGCAGCCAGGTCTGAACAGAACAGCGTGGACCTAGAAGAGCACTCCAACACGGGATGCCGGTGCCACAGGCAGCAACTTAGCCAGCGGCCCCTGATACTTACCTACTTACCAGGGTGTTGATTTGTACACTGTAGTAAGTCCTGTGACTTTACAAATATGAAAAACTTTATTTATTTATTCTAATCCAGAAAGTACTTCCAGGTCTTTAAGGTCTTTCTTTGACTCAGAACAAGATACAAATTTTCAGGAAGCTACTTGTCATTTCCTTTTGGTCATGCTTTGATTTTTTTTTTGCAACTTTTATTTAATAAATATAAGTTTCCAAAGTACAACTTTTGGATTATAGCAGCTTCCCTCCATAACCTCCCTCCCACCTGCAACCATCCCATCTCCCACTGCCTCTCCCATCCCATTCTTCATCATGATTCATTTTCTTCTTCTTCTTCTTCTTTTTTTTTTTTTTGACAGGCAGAGTGGACAGTGAGAGAGAGAGAGACAGAGAGAAAGGTCTTCCTTTTTCCTTTGGATCACCCCCAAAATGGCCACTACAGCCGTTGCGCTGCGCTGATCCGAAGCCAGGAGCCAGGTGCTTCCTCCTGGTCTCCCATGCGGGTGCAGGGCCCAAGCACTTGAGCCATCCTCCACTGCCTTCCCGGGCCACAGCAGAGAGCTGGCCTGGAAGAGGAGCAACCAGGACAGAATCTGGTGCCCCAACCGGGACTAGAACCCGGGGGTGCTGGTGCTGCAGGTGGAGGATTAGCCAAGTGAGCTGTGGCACTGGCCAAGATTCACTTTCAATTATCTTTATATATAGAAGATCAACTTAGTATATACTAAGTAAAGATTTCAACAGACTGCACCCACACAGATACACAAAGTATAAAGTACCATTTGAGTAGTAGTTTTACTGTTAATTCGCATAGTACAACCCATTAAGGACAGAGATCCTCCATGGGGATTAGGTGCACAGTGACTCCTGTTGTTGATTTAACAATTGACACTCTTATTTATGACATCAATCTTCATCTGAGTCCCTTGTAACTGACTAGTGAGATGGCATTGGTACATGCCACCTTGATGGGATTGCATTGGAATCCCCTGGCATGTTTCTCATGCTTTGATTCTTTAACACTCAGGATCGACAGTATTTCGCTAGAAAATAAGGAATGCTTGGCATGGAACATTTGGAAGGCCACTTATTACAGGAATGTTTTGTTTGTTCTTGACTTTGATAGATACACCGAGGAGTTAAAGGATTTGTCCAAGATCTTCAAGGTAACCCGATTGCCAATGCAACCATCTCCGTGGAAGGAATAGATCACGATGTTACATCTGGTGAGTGCCTGCTCTGACCTGGAGCCCAAGGTACAAAAAAGCCTAATTCTCATTATTGTAATTACAATCTTACACTCCTGGCCTCCTTGTCTCTTTCCACTGTCTCTCCCTTACTTTTGACCTAGGCCCATTGCATTTGTGGGAGCAGGTCAGGCACAGTGAAACGCAGGGTGGCTGCTGTGCCTGGAAGTTCGGGGTGCAGAGGTGGTGCCCTTTCTTCAGCTGTGTTCTTCCCCAGAGCTGCCCAGGAAAGCAAGGGGAAACAAAGCTGGCGGGAGTAGCATACTAGTGCCTTTCCTAGTCTCTGCAATGAGCTGTGAAGGGAACTAGAAGGGTAGGGTAGAAGGTAACTGCTGGCGTAGAGTGTGTCTGGAATTTGCGTTCATTTCTTCACTTACTCCGTAGCATAAATGCAGAGTATTCAAGGTGAAACTGGAGGCTGTAGGATTCATAGTGGGATGTTATTTATTTCTTGGTTTAAAGCCCCACTTCCAGTTTCCCAGTTTGGGAAAAATGTTCTATTTTCCTGGCACTTCTCTGCACTCCTGCTATTAAACTCCTGTCAAGTTCATTTAGGTTAACTGTCATCTGCTGGATCATTGCGACATTTTTTTAAGTCATAAGGTTTTTATAATTGTTCTAGGTCTTACGCGTAATTAACCTTAATTTCCCAAACTGGTGTATATATCACTATTTCTTAATCTTCACATTCACTGCTTGGATTTGTTTTTTAAATCTATAACATCTGTCCTCTTAAATGCATTTACTCACACGCCCGGCAGTATTTATCAACACCCACTGAGAGGGCAGCATGCCTCCCAGAATCTGGGCCAAGATATGGTCCTCTTACCTCTTAGCAGGGGTAGAACTCCGGCTTGGGGCCCTCTGGCTCCAGGACACCCTCTTCTATCTGTGAACCATTGGCTGCCATACAAATATTACTTTCTCTTCACTCCATCATATGAAAAGTTTAGAAACTCTGACGTAGGAATCAAAGGGAATGAAATCTGAGGACTGGACTCTTGGATACTCCCGGTTTTCCTGGTTTTGTGTTTTTTTGTTTTTTTTTGTTTGTTTGTTTTGTTTTTTTTTAGATTGATTTATTTATTTGACAGAGTTACCCAGAGAGAGGAGAGAGAGAGGTCTTCCATCCGATGGTTCACTCCCCAATTGATTGGCCACAATGGCCGGAGCAGCGCCCATCCGAAGTCAGGAGCATGGAGCTTCTCCCAGGTCTCCCATGTGGGTGCAGGGGCCCAAGGACTTAGGCCATCTTCTACTGCTTTCCCAGGCCATAGTAGAGCAGATTGGAAGTGGAGCAGCCGGGTCTCCAACCGGCACCCATATGGGGTGCTGGAGCTTTAGGCCAGGGTGTTAACCTGCTGTGCCACAGTGCCGGCCCCTCCAGCTTTTCAAAGTCAAGGTGATGAGGAAGAAAGAACAAACAATGGCCTCCAAAGCAGAAGGAAAACAATATGCATTGTCCTGGAAGCCTGGGGTGTTTCATGAAGGAGGGAGTGATAAGGAATGCCAGCAAGAGCAGCCTTGTGAATGCATCGCTGGAGTTAGCCACGTCATTAGGGGCACAAGTACCATGCATTTTATTCCAGGTTCTTGCTTGCCTAGAGATAGGAATTCAAAGCAGAGACATAAACACGGTACACATGTGGAGATTTATTTAAGGGAGAGGGTGAATATACATTCATGCCAGAGTGTGGGGGACCCTACATGGAGAAATGCCCATCAGTGGGCCAGAGGGTTGCCTATGAGGAGAGACGGGAAGGAGGCCAGAGGGCAACCCATGAACATGGCCAAGGGCAAAAGAAGGGTGTCTCCACATGTATCTGTTTTACGGGGAAGTGCCCTAATAGAATATACAAGCGAGGTGGAGTTTGGTGTGTATGAGGCTTCCTGGGAGTTCCATACCTCCTCCACCTGGAGCTTAACTTCCATGTGCCCATTATGGCATCTCCTCCTTCCTGTCTCAGA